CCCCCCCCCCCCCCCTTCCCTTTCGGTAATACTTCCAAGCGCTACAGCGCTTTCCGTCATCGCAGCCACACATTCGTGACATGTATCGGTCAAAGTGCCATAAGTAAATGTTTGCGAGAATGCCAGCAACTGACAAACCTGTTGGAATGCCATCTTGCGCCTCAAAAAGAAGCCCTTGAAAAGAAACAACGCAAGCTTCCAGCACCAACGCCAAGGCTTTGACAATGAAGTCTCCCAACGCTGAATGGTCAAAAGATTGCCTCACAAAGGGCCCACAATAGACATCAAATGCTTCTTATCCACCGAAGGATACAGGTTGACAATGTCAAGCGTGACAAATCTCATAGCGGCATCACACCGAAGCGGTTTCAGCTGCTGCAAAAGTTGGTCTGAAGAAACAATGACAGAGTCCAACTGAGGCATAAGTGGCCCCAAACGCTCCACCAAAAAAGTTGAAAAAGGTCCATACCAACTGTTACGTACATTGCAAATTGGCCTGGAAGAAACTGGTTGCTTGTGCACCTTAACTAAAATGCGGAAGATTCCAACAGCACTTACCTGAAACTTGCTGAGTAGAAAATCCCGCTCAGCCAAAGAAAGCACACCAGAAGAAAAGAAAAACTGCACCATGGCATCAGCGCCGAACTTTAGCTCAGCAACTTTCTTTTGCAACTCCACCGGACTCAACTGTACATATCCCTGAGCCAATTGAAGTTGAACTTGTTCAACAAGCCATGACCGAAGAACTAAACAATCTCCGAGCCCTTTGTCGCAATCCACAACTGCAACCAAATCCGCATGTTGTCGCAACCAGGCCTTGGCTTTTCTGTCAAACCAAGACTGATTGGATTTGAAGGTCTTAGGTTCAAACTGGGTCAGCTCATGAACCGAACGAAGGCGTCAACGCCTGCACTGCCTGGTGGCTGCCACGTGCTTTTCAAACGACATTTTGACACGCGCGCAGCATTTCCTTGAAAGACTCTGCAAAGAAGCAACTGCCGCTTCAAAGCATCCAAGCCCGACAAAATGTCTTTGACATTGGTAGCTTTCCTTGTAGGAATGAACTTGCCACTTCTTGCAACATGCAGGAGGACAAACTTTGGGACACAAAGCACATCTGAAGGAACTAAATTGTGAACTCCTTTGTAAGCCTGCCTGTGCAACAAAGAATAAAAACGAGCTCTGAAAGTTTGCACGACACAGAACTTGTAAAAATCAATGCTACAGCAGTCGGCGTCTTGCCAGTAACACCGGCCTCTTTTACGATATGCTATTTTCGCTTCTGCTTGCCCTTGCCTTTGCCTTTACCTTTCGCTTTCTCTTTGCCCTTGCCACCACTCTTCCCTTCAAAACTGACTCTCTTTGACGAAGTTCTCTCACCACTTGACGATCTTGCTGGCTTCGATGGAGAACGACTTGCAGATTTCAGAATTGAACGGGGAGTGCTAGAACCTCTCTGCTGGCTTCGTCCTCTAATCTTCCCAGGGACTTTCTTAGGAGTAGGCGCCCTTTTGGAAGAACGGGCCGCTTCTGAGACAATTTTCACATTGTGTCTTCGACAAAGCTCTTCATTGTCCTTCACCAGAAAGGCCAGGGCTGAATCTTCCTTGATTTTGCGTGACCTTTTTTGCTTTGCATCCAAGAGTTCAAACAACGCTGGAGACAAAACATCCTTCACGTCCATCTCTTCCCACTTGCTCTTTGCTTCTAAAAGCACTTGCTCTCGTTTTTGCTGCTGCTCTTTGTCTCTGGCCATCCGTGTTTGTATTTTGGGCCTAGTGGCTCGAACAAAGGACTGCACAAACTGACAAGCCCTTTGTTTCAAAACTCTCTGTACCTCCAAGTCATCAAACGCCTGCTCCGCAAACCAGGCATCCAAACGATCAGTCAACTTTTGCTGCAAAACCGCCAAGGAAACCTCTCGCTCATACAAAGCAACGCTTGGTCCACTGCCATTTGTAATCAGCCTCGGCTTGTAAGTGATTGTGCAAACGTCCTTCCTCATTCAACTTGGAGTACTTCTCAAACAACTTCTTCTGCGTTTCCCAGGCTTCAAACACGTGTTTAGCTTCTTTCTCAAAGTCCAGAAAAACTTTCTGCAAGGCTGGATCGACTCCCTCGAGCAATTGAGTGTGAGACTGGAACAATTTGCTTTGTGCAACTTCTTGGACACTCATTGCTTCAGAGCGAGCTTGCGAACTCTGCACCTGAGACTGGAGCAAAGCAACCTGGTTCATTAGCAACTGATTCTGCTCCAGCAACAGCATTTCGACTCCATTCCTTGATCCTTCCAGACTTGGAGCTCTTTCTCTTCCAGCAGCTGTGAAACGAGACGGGGCAGGTGTTCTTGGTGAATCCCTGCCTCTTGGAGCAACAGTGAGATCATTGGTAAAAGCCGCAATCCCTGAACCGCACTGAGCAGAACTAGCACCTGCCACCCCAGCAGATGCCAAAAGCCCATGGCTCAAAAGATCTGACATGGCGAGCGCCTCAAGTTAGCAAAGCACAACTTTAGAACAGGTCGCTCAAACCCAACGCAGCTTTTCTACGACTGCAGCAAGGTATTAAATGCCTAGCTTTCGTCCCCCTTGGGACTCTTCAGGGCTTTGCAGCCGCAAATGCTGCGGTGATCAATCACATGCCTAGGCATCGCGCATTCAATAACCTAGGCAAGTGCAAACTGGTCAAGACTCTTCAGGGTTTATTTGTTGTGATGTGCAACACTGTACTCAGGATCTTGTCCAACACTGTACTTTGTCATCCGGGGTCCGAAAGACCCGGCCGGCCAAAGAAGCTACTCTTTCACCCACGCATCTTGTGGTGGAATGCGCTTCTAGCGTTTACTTGGTTCTCAATCTCGCCAGGAGCATGCTTTGGAATGCTGCTGTGAGTTGCTGCTGGCCATTGGCTCTTCAGCTGATTCAATCTTTTGAATTCAGGATTTCGTCCATGTTCAAGCGCTGGGCTCAATGATAAGTGGATTTGTTTGTTTGGACTCAAGAAGGTAGTCAAAGTCTTTTTTTGTTAGCCGCGGGGGGCGGTAGGCGGGACTGAGGAGTAAATAGACCTAGGACCTAAGAAGCTACTAGTAGCTGGAACGCAGCTCGCACTAATCTTTTGGTTGCTCGATCTTTGGGGAAACTTAGCACTGTATCTATCCTTGCTTTGTGATCGAAGGGAATGTAAAGACATGTAACGTGTGCACAAGATCTCAAAGACCTGGATAGGAACCGGCGGGCTTCAACAAAGCTAGAAGCTACAATAGCCACAGCTAGACTTCTAAAGCGGCAGTGCAAAAACCATCAGCTCCTGATTGATGTGCCTTTACACAACTGATTGGGGTTTTGATAGTGGAGAAATGTTCCTGACACCCTGGTGTCAGTCGACCGTCAGGTTACACCATGGAGAACATGGCAGCTGGCCAAGCAGCGATCACCTCCGCTACTTGGCGCCTGCTTTCCGTTGATCAAATCAGCACTGTTTGGCTCATAGGAGAAAACCCCGTAGCAAAACTGGTCATGCCACGGGGGCAGTTGAGAAAGAGGGAAGGTTTTTTTTTGGCAACACATTTGCAATATGTGTTGACGTTGTTTTTGGTTGGGCGAGACCGGAGAGACTCGGGCAACTTGGCTTACCTCAGCACTCCGGTCTGAGGTTTGCGGACGGTTGAAGGACTTGATGAAGAGGAAGTTGGACAACGGTAAGTCCGCGTACTGCAAGCGTGTCTGAACCTCAGCGGAGCAAGCGATCCAATGAGCGTGGTCTAAGTGTTTGGAACGCATGGAGCTTTGACTTGAAGATTTTGTCAACGGTATGGGGCACCCTCACTGGGGAGGGCCATGGAGAGCCTAATTCAAGCCACTTCACTGCATGGTCAAAACATGTAAAACGAATTTTCTTGTCCCAAGCCGTATTACCACCTGTTGTTCGTTCTCACTGCAATGGGTCCTTTGTCACACCCTAGGTGCAATTCACCATCCAGGCCGGGTCGTGTTACTTGCAGATGTGGAGAACCAGTTTATATTACCATGTTTGCGGAGCAACATACTAAAATGAATGCTTTTGAACGAGAAAGCCAGAGCTGCTTACCTATACTTGGGGTCTACACAGCTTACAAACCTGGAGATGAGCATTTGACATACCTACTTGCATGCTTTCGGAGAAGTTTTGATGGATCATTTTCACTTTTTAGTGGCACTTCGAGGTTGAAATAATGTATGCTGTATGCATGTGTAATGTGGATGCCACCCGACGCGACCAGCAAACCGTATTGCAAAAGTTTTAAAGTTTGAAATTTGTGATTCACTTTTCGTTCAACATCGACTTCATCTTTGGCAGGATGTCCTGGACACAAGAGCAGCTGGATGGACACGCAAGGCATGGACTGTGCATGTGTAGCTTGTCTCTTGCCATGTTGCATGGGTGGCGGGGGGAAATCAACAAGGATTGTGTCAGAATCGATTGAACGAAGAATGCCACTCCGTTTTGGGTTGCATGGGTTGCACATATATAGTTGAACAAATATTGAACGGTGCGGCAGAGCGGCAGAGCGGTCCGGGCCGAGCCTCTATTTTGTATGTATTGGTATCAAGTACGCTGTGGCTTCACAAGTGCAAAACAATTGTATTGGTATCATACTTATAACTTATCACTTTCTTTATGAGGAAGCGGTCTATCACTCCAACGATGGCTTCAACATTCGGGGTGTAAAGGTTTCAAGGTCCCTTTGTAGTATCAGTGCAAAGAGCTGGGAGTTGATGGTTGCAGGTCTTTAAGGCGGCTGCGAAGACGAAGGAGGAGATCCGAATGGAACAGGCGTGGTCGGATGATCGGATGACTGTACACTGGAAGCACATCGCCTTTTCAAGAGGATCTGTAGCAAGCCGTCCATGATGGGTTCTGAGTAGACCAGCATGGGTGCACACTTGTGTTGTATCCGTTCTATCACGTACTGGGTGCCGGGGTTAAGTCGTCTAGTCTTGTAGTAAGTCGTCTGGAAGATGCGTGGCCTTGCAGGATCTGTGTCTCAATATACTTTCTGAACTTTAACAACTGATAAGTAACAGGTTTCAACATTAATGTTTAACCCCAAATTCATCCAAATTCTAAACTCATATTTACGCGGTTTCTGGTTTCTGAAGGACAAATGACTTCAGAAAACACCTGGAGTAAGCGCGGCCATGGTGATTCAACACCCAAACAATAGCAAATCAACACCAATTATGATTGCTTCGTTCCAGTGTAGGCAAGAAACATATGCAGTTTCGAGTTTGGGAAGATGTGGTACATAGCGCGGCCGTGGTGCTTCACTCTTGCCCGGGTGACTTTCCACCGGTTGGGCGACTTTCCACTACTGTAGCGTGCCCATGCGGCAGGGTGACCCACGTGACTGTAACTAAACCAGCACTTGTACTCCACCATGATTTCATGTGCAAAACCTAAGTGACTAAATTTGAATAGGAAGAAAGTCCTGGTTAGTTGGGTATGGTGCGAACCATACGCTGAACTGCAGGAGCAATCCGATTTTTGATTGCATGTTCTTGCAATACCTTTGTGTGGCCACAAAATGGATTGTCAGATCGGTCTGCTCAATCGAGCAACCGACATGATTGTTGTAAGACTGCGGCAGAGGTGTGCTGCTTGAACCAACTGTGCCAGTATTACCCTTTTCTATGGAATACTGAGTGCGAGACAAACATTCAACCCTGAAACCGATGCGGACCAACCCTATTTATTTGACTGGGCCAAGCAAAGTGATGTGTTAGTAGTTCATTTAGATGTCCACACGCCCTGGCCAAGCCTGTTTCTTGATTGTCCCTGAAACTCTCTCCAGCACTTGCTGTTGTTCTGAGTTTTGAACGCCAGGAGAAGGAGATCACAGACCGAGCACGGGGAAAGGCCGGCCGTTTGATGAACTTGCTCTTTGTGAAGCGGAAATGGAAGGACCTTGGGTGGGGACAGGACGTGTCAACTGCGGATTGCGTGGTGACGGGAGCACGACCAGCCTCTTGGTGAAAGGTCACAAGTTCAGTGTTCTTGTGCGATTGCAGTCATGCCACTCAATGAAGATGTATATAAGTCGTATTGCTATTGTTATCAATGGGCAGCTTATCAGGTGCCTTGTGTTCCTCAAAGTCCATTCTTCTATGTGAGGTCTACCTCGCATCTCGGGCCACCGGTGCCTAGAAATTCGATTACCCTGTGCGGCTTGTGCCGTGGGTGGTCGCTCGTTGTACTTGATCGGCAAGCCAGCTGAATTATAGCCGCTAGCTGGTTGCAAGCAGTCGATGGGAGGCCGACTTTGCTGTGTGGGTCAATCATGCTCGCGAAAGGAGGGGAAGGAGGGGTTGATCCGCTGTGCAATGTCTTGAGCCACACCTGTGGCTTTGTGTTCACAGATTCATAGACTTGCTTGGAGGCCAGGCTGGTTGACAGCGGCTGGTGTGGGGTTTCAGAGGCATATACCAAGCCTGCTGGTGGATTCTTTCTGCTTTGCTTGTTCCACGAGCTCAGGCTTTCAGCCGCATCACACGTAGAAAACTACAGCCACTTGGTGTGATTGTGGAGCCTGAGCTGCTCAAGCGTGCAAGACTCGATTTCGTTGACAGAGTTCAGCAGTGTTTCCTGATGTTCCAATTGTATGACCGTTTGTTTGTGGATGTTTATTGAGAGTGGGGCTAGCATTTGAGTGTCACGTCGAGCAGCAACCCAGCCTTGCCACGATCCAAGGAAAGTCTTTGAAAGAATTATTTATCAAGCACTTTAGGCTGGGCATTGACGACTTCAAGTTTTCGACCCTTCCTTCAGTTGCTTTCCGGGACCTGGGACCTTGAGAGGGGCACAACAGCCAAGGATGAAGATCTCTCTCTCTCTATACATATATACAGAACATGTACAGATATATAATATATAGATACATGATATACAGTACATGGAACGTCCAATTTGCAAGCGGTATTCTAAGCCCTGACAGCAACTATGATAACTGGATTGTGATGGCTAGATGCCTCTACAGAGGAAGAAAAGCTGGTTGTATGCAACTTTCGCTGAGTCCAGCACTCCAGCTCAGCTGGAATCCAGTGTCCTAACTCCATACTCCGCAGGCGCCCGTTCCAGGTCAGGCTTGACTGCACTGTGCGTCACCTGGCTGCAGATGTGAAGCCAGCGAAAAGAGCACTACGACCACAATACCCTGGATTCACATGACATTCAAAGGTTTCTGTCCTCTTAAAAATCAAGATTTAACAAAAAAAACAGTTCCAGAATGTTTCATGTGCGATGTGATGTCATCTTATGCTTTGCAACGTGATTGCCTTGATGGTTGTTTTGCGTCGTGAACACATGTCGATAAATCAAGCACTAGAATAGAAGTGACACTGGGCGTCACTTGGTGATGTTCCTCCACTACTTGGTCTAGTGGATGGAATTGACCGAAGGTGCATCGTGCGGAGTTGCCTCGCAGTTTGACCTCCGTTGTTTGAAAAGGGCAAAGCGATGACACCAGGGCAGGGTTTGGAAGGGTTTTCATGGTCGGCTCATGCAAGTTCTTCAGATCCAACCTGGTTTGCCCCCAGACAACATAGACACTGCTTTGGCAGGCTGGTGTTGAAGTTTGCTGTGTATATCCCTGCTGCAGCATGGAAGCCTTCACAAGAACCCAGAGAAGAACCATCAAGGAGCAATTCATTAACGCCAGCAATTTGTCGCGTGGCAGTCCTTCCACAGTCGCAGAAGACTTTGTTTCGTCCAGGTGAGAGAATCCGCCAGGCCCAGTTCTTCGGTATATGTACGATTTTGATTTTGTGTGGTCGCCCAGTGTCAGAGCTTCTTGGTACGCCCTTTGGTTGAGCCTCCCCGTTTGGCAGACACCCTCATGCTGAGGCCACAGACGGGCCTCGTGCCATTTTTACAGATGTTCGTTTGTGTGGACTTGTGCAGCTTGGCCTTACATACGTTGATCTTTTTGTACCCAAAGGGATCCCTTGAGCAGCACCAGTAGGAAGGCAGTCTGGCTTTTATTGCGTGGAATTGATTTGATAAGTGATGATGCATACCAGTGGCATACCAGTTGAAGAACTGAGGAACAAGAAATCCTGCCCTCGAATACTCACACCGTATTGCAGCGCATCCCGGAATTCTCTTGAGCGCGAGCTACCCATACCATGTGCTTAGATGCGTTGGGTTGATGGCCCGTACCGCACCCTGCAGCGGGCCACCGACGCAAATGCAGCATTGATATGCATTGATTATGGTCAAAGTCAACAGTGAAGTTCCAAGAACCAGAGTACTGAATGGTTGTGCTTCAGGCCTTGCCCCTTCCTACCCTCTTAGTGGGGCTGGCTCTTTTGCACGATTCAAGTTGCGTCATGGTCCGCTGTCCCTAGCCCTAGATGTCTAAGCGACTTGATCGCGGCCTACAACAGAGCATCGAGCAGTGTCAACGTGTCAGGATAGTCACGTTGGCATGCTCCCAGCGTAGGCTTTCGAGAATCAGGCAAGATTGTGGCACCCTAACGTCGGGGACAGATTTTGCGTTTTGTGTAGGTATGGAAGCCATCCTGCAGCAGGTTTTTCGATTGAGATCCCCCACATTGGTAGGGTGGCACGGCTTTCTCCAGAGCAGGATGGCTTGTCTTACTCCAAATTCGATCAACTTCCCAACTTCGGAGGTAGCCATTTGGAAAGCTGGCTCTGGAGGTTGGGGTGAGGGCGAATTCTTTCAGTTTCGTTGCCCATCAATCCCGGCAGAGCTCTGTACGGACTGGTGGTAGTCTCCAATATCTAAGACCAGCAGTTGTTGGTTCGCCAGGGCCATAATTGTTTTTTCTTTTTGACTCGGGCTTTGGGTTTGGTGGAAAGGCTCGGGGCCAAAGACAGTGTTGAAACATCTGAATATCCACATTGTCAGCATTGCACATGGTGCATTTCCCCTCTGCGGCGTGGATCGCCCAGGGGAGCCCCCATGTTTTCCCGCAGCATTCCCAGTACGCCCATATATAGATTCATAGAAATGTTGTACAGTCAGCTTGGCTGCCTGTGCTTGGCGCTCAAGCGATAGACAGCTTCCTGAGGACGGAAAACTGGAGCGGAGCTGGGCTGAATGTCGGGTTTTTCCAGTGTGGTGGTGTCCACACTGGGGTTGGTTCATCGGCAAGACTGGATCACGCAGACTGGTTGTGAATCTCGAATGATCAGTTTTGCTGATTCACGGTTGCAGACGTTTTTATTCGGATGGCAGGTCCTGAGAGGATTGCAGTACCTGCACAATGGCAAGCTTTCTCCTTAGTTTGGCCATGAAAGGCATCCTATGATGACCGGCGCTTTCTTGTAATATTGTTGGCGCTTGTCAGACCATTTTAGCACTGTCCACATTCACCGAACCACTGCGCGTACAGATGAACGCGCCTGCAACCGTTGGCAAACCTCCCATGCTTTTGGATATACTTAGGACATCTTAGGACTTTTAAGTCTAGTCAATGCCACTCATGCACTGGAAGCAGCTGTAAACTCTATGTCCACATCTGTAGATCAATCCTCTTGCATGCTGCATCTCCCGACAAACCTCATCATTCCCTGCACCTCCCCGAAACTGTAGAACCGCATTGTATTCCACTATGCGAACGGAAAAGACGCAATCTACAAAGCAGAGCCTTTTCCAATCTTGTGCTCGAACATGTGTTAGCATGTGTTAGCATCTCACTTGGCTGGATGAGCCCATTTGCTCGTTGTTCTCCCATGAACAATTGTGCTAATCTGCTAATCATTCATCCTTCATCCGTGTTGAAAGGGTGCCAATCTTTACAGCAAGTGCGACAAATGTCCTTGCGCATATGTGAACAATGGCAGCACATGCAACACCTGCACTCCAGCAATGCACGTTAATTCGTAAGATGCTTGTTTTGATCGCTGAGGAAAATTCATCGAGATGTCAAGGCCGGCAACATTCTTTTAACGACGGCGTCCTTGGCTTAGCCTCAGCAAGTCTCTATTTCGGGCAACAACGAACATCCAAGAAACGAGCACCCTGTTGATGTAAGAGGATTTTCTCCCCATTGGATCAAAGCAAAGTGTGAAGGATGATCCCCTGCAGGCATTACTTTACTGTATACTCATAGTATATACTAGTACTAATATAATATATATATATAATTTTTAAAGATACACATTAGTCACCCTTTTTTCATGCGCAGTTGAGGTTTCAAGCCAAGCTGGCAGACTTCGGTATCTCTTGCCAGCTGCAGAACACCTGGGCCCGGCGGAACACCAAGATCGGCTCGCCGGGGCTCCTGCAGATACGTGGCAGTTGACATTTAATTTGACATCTACTAAAGTAACTAAAGCACTTTCCATTCCATTCCGCAGCGGAAGAGGAAGGGCTTTCCATTCCGCAGCAAACAACAAGAGTGTGTGTTATGCTCGTATCATGTGCCTGGAACTTGCTGAACATGGGGCAAGCTGAGCTGCTGTTGAGGCCCTACTGGATGGCACCAGAGGTGATCAAGGGTGAGGCAAGTCAAAACGCACAGCCTCGGGGGGGGAGGAGCTTGGACAGTGCTGTCCAGATCCTCACCTTCTAGTAGTTATATAGATGTATACAATTAGATGAAGAGGACATCGGAGGATTTCGTTCCTAACAATGCCCTTTCTTTCCTTCGCCCAAGGACGAAGAAATCCGGTCGTCAGACGCGGGTGATCGGCGAAATCCGCTCTGAGGCGTACAATGCCAAGGCGGACATTTGGTCCCTGGGCATTACTTGCATCGAGATGGTGGCCCTGGCATGTTTGGAAAAGTCGGTGTGAAGTGGCGACTAGTCTCCGCTGTTTGCAGGACTGTCAGGGTGGATGGGGAGGCGGCCACTTCTTTTCGCAGAGCTGTGTTTTGTTATTGTTTTCCTCTCACTCAGGCGATTGAGAGAGATGGGTCATAGTCATAGTTGTCACTGGGCTTTTGTAGCCATAACTCAACCTAGGTGGTACAAGCAGCATAGGACATATGAGTTTTGAATCACATCCTGTAGGATCGGTAGAGGATTCACAAATACATTGTGGCGTGCGTGTCGAAAACAACCACGCCTTGCCCTTCGCAAGTGTTCCACGCACTGCCAGGCGGATGGACAACCGCCTTACTTTCACATCCCTCCCACAAGGGCCATGTTTGTGATCAGCACGAAGCCTCCCACAGGCCACGAAGGAAAAATGGGAGAAGTTGTGGTGCAACCACTGAAACTACTGTGGCCCATAGCCGCCCGCGAATGTGTCTCATGCTTGGCAAAACCTACAAATCAGGTGGCTGGGATTTATGATTATATATGTGGGTTCCTGTCCCGTAGTTGGGATGTGGTAGCTGTCATTGCTGAGTTTGTCATTGTTGGTAGCAGGCATCGTTTTGTTTTCTGCACTTAGAAGAGGGTAGACACTCATGTGTTTGAACTGGTCCGATGCTATATAGTACCGGATTTGTCAGGGAAACAGCTGAGGGAAACAGCTGAGAACTCGCAAGATTCGGTTATTGGTTGTTTGGAGACACTTTGATCACTATGGCTTTGAGCAGGTTTCACTTGAAATTTTGTATAAATATATATATGTTACAAATGATGCCAACATATATGTTTGGTTTCATAAGACTAAGTTGAGCATTGTTGTTGTGTTTGCATCAGACTTGATTGATCATTGTGATCACTCAAATTAGCTTCTTCACCCAGTGCAGATATTGGGATTGTAGGCTGGCTGGAAACGCTGCCAAATGATAGACATATTTGTCAATGCATTTGCGAGTGGCCAAGGTCAAATTGAAGTCACTCAATAGTCAACCAAACATATGGGACAAAATTGCTTGGGAGCCCCCGCTAAACCTCCCCAACTGGTTCGAGCTTGGTTTGAATTCATGTTAATCAGCCATTTCAAGTTCACCAAAATCACAACGTCACAAAGGTTTGAATTGGCACTTGGTGGATTTGAGGCATACATGGTCAAAATGCAAACATATCTAAAGATGCACATGTTGGCCGCATCGTGCTGTCAAGTCACCGGTGCTGATCACTTTGATCCAACTTGTTTGGCAGGGCTTCCAGAGAGCTCCAACTGCTCCAATTCTTCCAAGGACTTTGTTGACTTTGTGCTGGGGTTCCAAGAGCTGTGTCAAGCTGCACAGGCCAAAACACCGTGAGTCCTCCAAACACATTACCAGTGACCAGTTGGTGGTGCATCAGTACATCAGTTAGTTCGCGGAGTTCTCCAGCATACTTTAGCTCAGGTCTGCATGCCTCACAGTGGACAGCACGAAACGGCCACCTGCGCAGGTCGGAGATCCAAAGCATTGGATTGATCGCTTGTAGAGATTCCAACGCCATTTACCAAGTCTTGCAAGGTTGATTCACAATGATTCGCACCATTGGTCACTAGGAGCAAGAAGCTACTAGGGGCTCCTGGCCGTACTACTAGGAGCAAGGACGCTACTTGGTCGATTGCTTCGTCCTGGCCGAGACCTGCATCTTTTCGTGCCTCCGGGGTCAGGTGCTTTTGCAAGATCCATTCACTCAACCTGAAGCAGAACAAAAAGACCCCTCCAAGGCCCGTGCAAAGAAGCTTAAGTTAGTTGATGCTGCCTGGGTATTTCAAGTAATGTGAACAAATCGACCCATGAAAGCCTGATGAGTATATGAACTGTAATTCTTTGTCAACCTTTAACAAGCACAATTCTTCTAAGGAAGTCTCAGTTCCTTGCTTCGTCGCTGGCCTTTTGCTCCTCACTCTCTGACCTGGAGAGGCCCTAGCTGGCCTCCTCGGCCCGCGCTTGGCCGAAGCGCCAGGCGTGGGAATAGAGAGAACAGGACAAGGACACCCCAATCGTTCGAAGGATGACCAGATGTCGTCCATGTTTAACAGGGTGCTTCCTCAAGAGATAATTCTTGAGAACAGAAAGCACCAAATCTTTGAGATCTGTTTGTTCTGCGGATCTTCTTTCTTTATCCTACTCCCCTCAGTTTTGCCTGGAAATGGCGGCTCGCAGGTGGAAATGGCCGCTCTCCAACCACCACTCGAGAGGGAGGCTGGGTGAGCATGGGCTGCATGGGATGTCGTGCTTCCGGAACGGCATGGAATGCTGTTAGGGATGCGTCGGAGCGGCCGAAGTTTTGCGATGACGAAGCTTAGTATGTCATCGCTAGACTCATGACTCACTGCCATTGGCTGCCAGATCAGTCGCAGAAATTGGGCGGGCAGACGTTGGAGGTCAAATGAAGATGAATCGTTTATTCAGGTCCCCCAGCCTCTCCACTGACTACACAGGTGTGGTACAGATTCTAGAGTCAGAAATCCTGGAGCAACCCCTTGCAGGACATTCGAGGTTAGAGTGAAGTGGTTCCTTGAATGCTGGGCCAGGCGCACGGAAGGATTCCTGGCAAAGAAGGCCTCCGGTTACAGTCGAGTGGTGCTGGATTGACTAGTGTTGGTTGACCTCGCAGAATTGGTGGGACTTAAGAGGTGTGACTCAAGCGCCCTTCGTGTGGCAGCCCTGCCGGGTTTGCTCTTCATGAACTGGATGCGCTCATGCATGTGCCATGCTTGCTATGTTTGCGATGCTAGCTGCATACTCACACATATAGTGCAACTGCTGAGATTGAAGCAATCAACGTGGGACACATGGCATTCGCTGCTTTTGGGTCTTTATGGCCCAGAAACGGTTTGCGAAGTCACAAATTGAGATCAAACCCCGTCCATGAGTCGAAGAAGCAGACGATGCAGAGCCCCTGACTGGTAACTCATGTATGTCGCGTTGTGCCATGTAGATTCCATCGCTCAGGTCAATGAGCGCCAGCTCGTTGCCCAGAAATCCAAGCACCAGTAGTGCGGGCACCAAAGAGGCTATGTGAAGGTGAAGGTGGAAGAAGTCAATTGAGGGTGCGGCCACACGTCCTGTAAGATGGTTAAATGGTGTTAGATGTCATTGATTGATTCCAGCTCAGCAATTCTTTGCAGGGTCAAGCCTGCGAAGATTCTTCGGATCATGCCAGTAAAACTGTGAACGCATGAACTCGCCTCTGAGTAGTTGTAATGGTGCTTCCAAGGGATTCAATCATACCCTTGATATCCTTTTAAGGGTGCTGGGTGTCAATACTTTCACGCTTTGTGAGGCTTTATGTTGTGGCCAATGTCTGTGTAAAGTATGTTAATGTGTATATACATTCCAAACAACCTAGACCTAGACTAGTGCCTCACCCGGCCTCGCCAACAAATGCCAAGGCCAGTCGGTGAATCTCTTGACGCCGCCCGGGGCCTCGGCGAGGGAGGGGCCTGGAGGGCGAGGGCCCATCGCCGGTGGAGACTTGAGATCGACCATGGCACCCATGCAAAACCGCGATGAATGGCAGAGTGAGTGGGGATTTACAGCATAGGGGCCCTAGGGACTTTCGACCGGGTTTGGTGTAGTTCAAGTAAGTCACTTCACCTGATGCTGGGGAGGCTGGGTCACCGTCTGATTCGGCAACTAACTTGGGGTGGATCGATCGAATTTGGATGAAAGAACATGGCTCCAAAGAACATAAAGAACACACAGGACTTTCGTGGTTTGTTCTTGGCGAAGCAAAACAGGATCACGGAGGATCATATCCCAGGACTTGGAGTGCACCTTTTGTGTTACTCCAGTGCCTAGGTCAAAACAAACCATTCGACATTCTGTTTGTTTTCTTGGTGCTCACCCAAGTCCAAGGGCTTGCGACTCACTACTTCTTTTTGCCAGAGAGGTTGTCATAGTTTCCAGTTTCCAGGTCCTTGGCCGCAGTAACGCCTACCGCTGTCTCCTCAGTTCACAGTGCCCATGCTTTGACATAGCTATCACCAGTGCTTCAGATCTTTTGGTGGACATTCATGTCGTGCGTTCCCTTGGAACCTTCGCTTTAGATCTCATCAGCGACGAGGTTGATGCTTTTGCGATGGCCGCTCCTTCATCACCGTCGTCCTACCGGAGATGGGAGCCGCTTGGCGCACGGGGGCGGATCGTCGACCCAAGAAGATCGCGGAAGCGGTTTAGAAGGGTTTCCAACCCATTAGCAGCCTCCAACCTACTAGCCATGGCCTCCAAAAGCGCGGAAGATCGCGGGTCTCGGTTGCAGGCAAGGCTATAGCTCACAGAACCTGCCAAATGCACCAGCGTGCGGAGCCTCAGAAGCACGATGCGCCTGTGGCTTGATTCAAATCATGTATATACTGTGTATATATCATTATAATTCATTATATCTCTAATTATTTTGATATATTCATCATTTTGATATATATCTATATATAATTATAGTAGATATATATGTATATTATACACACCACAGTCCCATCAGCAATCAGCAAGCGCTCAATAGCTTAGTGCACATAGTCCATCACAGTGGTCCACCTGATTTTTGAAGGTTGTGCCGCATGATTGATTCGCAGTTTCTGAATTCAATTAAGATGAGGACTCAAAGGGACTCGTCAGGAGGTTGTCAGGTGTGAGGCATTGCCGCGGGTGTGTTCATGGTGTGGAAGCCTACCCTCAGACCACCATGTTCAACACGACTCACTCGCTGCCCAGTGTGAAGCCGACAGAAGCGGAGGACGAGGTGGGGCAAGCGCCGAGACCTGGGTGGTTAACAGGTACTGAGATGAACACTTGAAGTGCAGTGGTCCACACAAGATGCCCAATGAACTCATTGTGAAGTGAAGTCCTCAAGAAGCGACAGCTCCAAGTTCTGACCTAAAAACCGTGATGCTGCAAAGTACGTGATGCACGATAATCTGCAAAGTACGTGCCAAAACAGGCCGTCGATCACCCTAGGTTGTTTTGTTGGAGCCTCCGCTGCATGTCCATGAACATCTTGGGAGCATTGTTTGGGTGACCACAGATTGGAGACGGGTAGAGCTTTGCTTCAATACGAAGGCACAGAAGTACAGTACCGATCTTGGATAGGGTGATTTTGCAGTTCGTCAGGGGTCCGTGAAAACGATGCCCAGTGCAGGCGACGAGCAACGAGGACATTCGACGGCGTGCGAGAGAGTGGGCAAGGGACACAGAATTGTTTATGATTTGGGGTGGGAGGAGGCAGTGCGAAATAAGAGATGGTGAATGCTGTTGCGGATGTAATTTTTCTAGACGCTGGCCAAAACCAAGTGGCATCTGATACCCTTGCCTAGGTGAATAGCATCGTCCCGGTGATGGAAGATGAGGGAGACCAGTGTGGGCCCAAAGGATCTGCTAGCTCTCTCGCTCCTGGTCCCGTCAAGCGACGTACTCAACCAGAGCAGACGTACAAAGATGGAGTTGCTTGTGGAGTGTATTTGGGCATCGTTGGGGTACTGTATCCTTCTCCATGATTTGGCGTTCTTCTCTTTGTCGCGCCAGCTTTTCGCGGTGTGGTCTGCCCCGCATATCAGATTAAATGCAACGGTGGCGATCAGAACCCTTTTGCTCTCAGACTCTCTCATGCGACTGTTCGAGCAACCAAGCCACTGGACGACTTTTGGTTTATCCATTTGGACCAATTCGGATTGGACAACTTTAGTGAGTGAGAATCAACAAAACCTTCAACGAACACTGCTTTAAAGCTTGTCCGTGCCCAGCACACCTGCGAGCTACCGGGAGCCCTCTGAATCGTCGGGATGCCCAAGTCAATAAGGGGCAAATCAGTGACATTTAGACACACTCTTGATATCTCTTGATATTTTGATTGATTCAGTTTCTTTTTGTTCCAGTGCATGGCCAAATGTATATAACTAGAAAGCATTACTAAACCACAGAAAACCGTCTTTTGTTCGGTCCAGTATGTTTTTTGACTTTGCTGAGTGAGCATCAAAAAGGATTGCAGGACTTCATGGTGGGTTGGCAGCTGGTAGCAATTCCATTGCTCCGGATGCTCCCGGCAGTGTCGCAGTTTGTGTTCGAATTGACGGGATTTGGGTAAGTCTTTTCTTGATTTGTTAGCTTATGTGGCAACCTGCCCAACTGGCTTCCCCGTGAAAGCAAAAGGTGGTATCCAACGTCAACATAGAAGTTGGATGTCAAGAATCTGTTTGGTTTCATTGATCGAGCGCCGTGGGCATTTGGAAACTGATCTAAAGGTCTTTGATTGCCTTGTAATCTTGTATGTTTGACAAAGAATGACCATTGGGGTGTGTTTCAGATTTCAATCCCTTTTGTCACAGACACTCGATGGGGTCCGCGCCATATTTTTTGGCTCGCAAAAGATCTATCGAAGGTTCCTTTCTAGCACATGCCAACCATGAAAAAGATATCTTTTGGTCGCGAAGAAAGGCCATTCCCGGGAAAAGGAACTTGGATCGGCCAACAGAAATGCAGCAGAAGCTGCCCAGGTTGATTTTGTCATCGAAGTCTCGGGGCAAGGGAAACTACGAGGCTCGGGGCATTGGGCAGTGAGACCAAGTTCTCAGGTAAACTGTAAGAAAGAAGTTTTGAACATGCACTCTTGCTCTGACATCAGTGTCTCAAGCGTGTAATTTCAGGCGTACGGATTGAAGTGGAAGTAGACTAGTTCGGAACGTAGCGTCATTCTGGCAGCCGCCGTCCGCACCTCGCTGTGTGAGGTGTGGGATTCTGATGAGGAGGGCCACAGCCTCAGGTCCTGAGACACCGGTCTTTGCGCAAATCATACACGCGAAGATGCGGTCTCGCCGGAGTCTCACCGGTCGCATCCTATGGGAGCCCTTCTTTGTCATGTATTCCAACATGAAGCTCATGTTACCCCTGCCGCAATGGCAAGTTCCGCTAGGCAGGCTGACATCACGTGTTGGTTGATAGGTCACCAACAGCTAAAACAAGGAGAATAAAACTGATAGGGGGGTCCCTCCTGCTGGGCACACAAGTTCAAATTCAAACAGCCGCTTTCTGGTAGGTAGTTCTTCTATTTTGTATGTCAATGGCTTCTCGCTTGCCCAGGAGTGACCACCCGGCTGCGTATGGAAGCGCAACCTGAAGCTGGTGCTGGGGGGCTGGGTCCCAAGCTGGACGGCAGGGCAGAGAGGGCCTCGCACGTGTGCGGTGACTTGGCCTCGCACGTGTGGAAGCGGCAGTGGTTGGATGTTGACAGGCCGGTGGCAGCGACGCCATATTTCATGCAGGCAGGGCCTGGAGTTTGTGCTCAAATCAGATTGTCCATGAGGACACTTCGTCTGTGGACGCAAGTTTGCAGTTCACGGCGTTTTTTTCCTTTGTTGTTTGTGGAACAACTTGCAGCAGCGCTATGTGAGGCTGTGGTTCTCCAATCTGACAACAAAGCAAGAGGGCACAACATGCCATGAAGCAATGTGAAGCAACGCAATGCTGGGTGCCAGGGTTAAGTTGTTCCTGCTTGCGTAAATGGTGTCTAGGTGCAGTCCAGCTACATTAGGGCATCAACTGCTTAACATATGTGCATAATGCATCATACTGTTTTCTAAAGCGGTATATACGGTATAAAGTTATCCAAACCCCCACCAGGATCGTGTGAAGTCACCTATGTCCGCGAGAAGTCACTCAAATCCCAGCAAACATTAATGGAGACATCAGTCGTTGGAGGGTCATGAAAGGGTGCATCCAAGAAATTATTGTGGACACCGCAACTGGGCAACAATTTTATGTCGTTGCCTTATCATGTTTCAAACAGCTATCACCATGAAACACGGCTCTGACATGTATTGTTTGCTATTGAATTGATAGGGAACGCGGACATGTGACATGAGTGACTCAACACCACCACCAAGTACGTGACAAACCTGCAGCAGTGACAGCACCTTTGCAAGTCCATATGTCCATCGGATCAGTGAAGGCTCCTTTGCCTGGCAGTTGGGGTGCTGCAACCTGGATTCAATGACTGTACTGTTTCCAACGACTTTCTTTTTGTACTCGACCCACTGACAGAGATTGCAGGTGCTGGGGAAGCAGTGGGCTTGAGCCGTGCCGCGGCTCATGCCACGCGGATGGGACAGTCTTTGAAGGCTTAGGTTTGCCATGCAAACTTGCATTTGCACCCATTCACCCAATGGAACAACAACGGCTAAGCATTCAACCACCCAATTTGGTCAGCGTTCTTCTTCATTTGAAGGGGTGGAGGGCTACATGACTGTTTTGAGAGATTCTGCCGCATTAGAGGCAAGTGTCTTAACGGGAGACCCCAGTTGGAATACAATTGTTTTCTTATTTTGGGACAAACCTGTGCGTCAGAGACTTTTGGTTCTCTCACAAGCTACTTGTTTGGTTCTTGTTGGCAGATTCTCAGACGTTCATAATTCTAAAATACATCTCTTGATCGCCAGCTGGACTCGCGACGAGATGTGCAGATTGCCCGTATTGAACGGCGCAGAACGGCGAAGCCATTCTGCTGAGCGAAATTCACCAATTATTCAAGATATTTTGATAAATATCTTGCTATTTTAAACTATGTACAATTATTCCAAAATAATCCAAAATATATATGAAAAATGAATTAATAAAAATAACATAAAAATCAATAAAGAATACATTAAATATATTTTTTATATTATATTTGGATTTTTGAATAATAATATGTTGTATTCCGAAAAAAAAAAAATAATGAGGAGGAATATATATAATATTACGGATTGGGGTGCGATTGAATAAAAATATGCGGATTTTTGAAGTAAAATGTTCGGAATAATCGGATTATTTTTAAATTTTCGGCTATTTATTTTAAATTTTGGTTCTTTTATAATTGATTTACGGTATTCGTCGCGATTCGGATTTTTTTAAAAATAATTGGATTATTATATGTATTTCGATTTTTAAATATAAGAAATAATTTAATTATTTTATTTATTTTGTTTTCCTCTTGGAATATGTATTATTAAGTAATGTCGTCGATCGCGGATTGGAATTTCGTATGATTTATTATGCATAGTTTTGATTAATTTCGAGTTTGTTCGTTACGTATTTATGGAGTATTGTTTGGACGTGTGCGTTAGTGCTTTGCGTTATAATATTCGGACGCATATAATAAGGAAATAAAATTTTATTATAGTCGCGACGTAAATTTAATATTTATATTTGATGCTTTGATAGAATATATTTATATGGCATTATTGCATTGATAAAATTTTAATATATTTGATATTTTGAAAAGAATTTGTATTTGTTTGGCAACATTATATTGATCTATTTTTGATTTATATTTTTTGATATAAATATACATATAATATATGTATTTTTTTATTCTGGCTTGTTGGGATTGCGTCGGTCATTTATTCCATGTTCTTAATAACCTTCTGTTCGAGTTGCCTTTTGCAGCTTCAAAAGGTCTTGGCATTGTTGGCAATTGCGAGCCGGTCTGGCAGCAGGATCGGAGTGCAAGGGCAAGGTCAAGCGAGTCCACAAGTGTTTTTTGCGTTTCTCTCCGGCTCACCCGAATGCGGAATGTCTAAAGAAGATTGCATCCCCCGTGACAGCCTTCGTGCAAACTAGCATTATTAGATTATACGGTGCTTTTTGCAAACATCATGGACATCGTACGATATTGTGAGTAAATTGGAGACAACTTTTTGCACAGAAGCATTATGAAAAGAAAGAAATTTCTTTGCAAGCACGATTTTTTTTTTTAAAATTGATGGTGCCCTAATCAGCTCGATTTTCAATTCTTTACCGTAAATACCATAGCAGTCCTGTTGCTGCAGCCATTTTGCCACTTGCGCGTGGCCCGGCAGAGGTGTAGCTGCTTCCGGGCGTCACAATCTTGAAGTCATAAATAGCCGAAATAATGCTAGGCACGGTATATATTCGTGATATCAATTTTGCTTTCTAAAATTCCTAAAGTAATGCAAATATTTTCGATTCTCATGGTCTGGAAAACCGGAGCTTTTTCTACCGATCGTTTGTACTGTTTGTTGTTTGCCTTCCTGGTTTTTACCGTGGGTTTGTCCACGAGTTTTGCGGCCAGGTTGGAAGGCGAAGCTAAAGGCCAGGGAGATTGCTACCCTGCCCTTGCAGGAGGGCCCAGCTGAAAACATACGATCCAATAGCTTATCAAATATATGCTAAAGTATTATAATTTATATGTTTTACTTGTATATTATATTCAGGAATGTATTATCGGCATGGTGCCTCAGACCTCTCGAACAAGGGACCGAGCTTAGCGTAATTCTGGATGGATTTGGGCTGGATTTTGAATGGATTTATGCTGGTTTGGAATGATGTCTGGGCGTCCTGTCACCCCTGCTGCCGTGCCCGCCCTTGGCTGGCTGCAGGCAACTTGGCGGGTCGTACTCGCATCGCATGCGGTATGTTGCCATTGCACTGCTGATTTTGACCTCCAGAATTTTGACTCACGATCATCACTGGGAGACCGTCGAACTGTGCGGTTCTATGCTGACACTGGCTTACGCATATGCGGTGCTTACAGGTGGCCGTGGCATCTGTCGCTTGCTGCGCGATCGCCTACATGTCACATCGGCGTGGACAACACCGGCTTGGTGCCGTCGCATATCTGGCCACGATCGACTCGGATATGGTGTGGGGACAGACGGCAGGTGTTGCTCGGAATCCGCACGCAGAGCATCTCAGCCAACAGATGAGATGTCAGACATAACATACGAGCCTGATGGTGACGACGGTGACTTCGGTCCTTCAGAGCAGAACTTCAACGGTGGGATATCAGCCGACGCCCGGACCGTGTTGCAGAGCATCGGTGAATCGGTCCTCAACCTCGTTGAATGATCCATGGCTTGGAAAGCGGCCAGTCACAACGGTTGGCGTCCCTTCAACGCTTTGGGCTTTTCAGGAGCTCGGGCTGCGTGGCAACGGATCAGCCACGAAAGTTTGACAAAATGATCAAGAGCAATTGCAGCAAAGCCCATATATTTGTTTGCGGATCAGGGCCTGCGCTGCTGGACAGGATCGGCGCACTTTGGGTGGATGGCGGCTTTGGCATTCGAGACCAGTTCTTGAAAACCTATAGCCCAATGCCTCGACTATCTGCAGTCTGCAGTGGGTGGCTGTCCACGCTTTCAACGCTCTGCGATCTGTGGTACTGACCTGTATCCTGCTCGCCATCCGCCACAAAGATTGCTGCAGGTGACAAGGAACTTGCAGAAAATGATCGATGAGATCTGCAACAGAACCGGGCGGCAGCGAGTGTCGCTGTCGTGGCCGGTCACAGAGAATGTGCTCTGTTATTGCATGAAAATCGTTGATGCGATGAATGGAAGCCAGACCCATATTCCCTACTGACGGCCAAGAAGGAAAAAAAGTCCGTGGTTTGTCGGTTTGTCAATTTGTTCATTTGTTGATCTATCGGTTTCGATTTTTGAGAATCGTATTTTTCCGCTGTTGGAAACAGCGGGCCGACCCTAGTATTTAAACAATAATACATTGAACATATTGATGAAATAAGTTATTGTAATGTTATATTGATTTAACTTATTTGTAAATATATTATTGTTATTATTTTATTATTATTACTATTATGATGATTATGATTATTATTTTATAAAAAATCAAATACAAATATCGAACTTTTAAGTATTTTTAAAGGAACAATTATATATATTTTATTTTTCGTATATTTAGATATTTGTTAATAATTGGAAAATACAATTATTTATTATAGATGATAGAGGTTTCGATTTCTTAAATAATATGGGCACATTAAGGCATTTTATAGGGTAAAAAAATAGAATTGATATTTAGATTGTTGAAGTGCATGATTATAAACGATTAATTCATTATTATTTATCATACATTTGTGCTTTAAAATTGACATTTCGATTATGGAGGCTCGTAGAATTTGCTTGTCGGCGGCGGGTGCTTTTAGCGATGGCGTTTTCGTTGTGGTATCGTGCATATTTTGATATATGGTGGTTATTTTTCGTGGCAGATGCAGGGGAAATATCGTATTTTGGTGCTTCAAAATCGATTTTTCGTAATAGGTATGAGGGATCGCTTAAATTTCGTAACAAATGCAATGAACCGCGATTTTTGGACATGTGGTGGTTCGTTTGTAGATTTCGTGGCAAATACCATACTCTGTGACCCTCGATGTATAGACTTAGTAGCAGGTGCAACATTTTATAAACCTCGAAATGCAGATTTCGTGCCAGATACAACACTTTATGAACCTCAAAATTCAATTTTCGTAGCTGCAAATTTCGTGGTAGGCGCAATATTTATTTAATAGACCTAGAAATGCAAATTTCGCGCCAGGCGCAACACTTAATTAAACCTCGAAGTGCAGATTTCGTAATGAACCTCGAAAATACAAATGTCGTAAGAAGCACAGCACTAAATAAATCTCCAAATGCAAATTTCGTAATAGGCAAAACATTTTACACAAATCGAAACATAGATTTCGTTGCAAACCCCGCGCGTAATATACCTCGAAAAACAAATTTCATAATAAACAAATACAGCGCTTAACAAAAACTCGACGTGCAAAATTCGTGGTACGCGCAATACTTTGTATTATCAGACGTTCATTCTTTCGTTCTCCCATTTTCACGTTCCCGCTTTCACTCATACTCACACTTGCACTCCCCCACACTCCCACTTTCACTCTCATTCGCACTCACTCTCCGACTCTCACTCACACTCGCACTCACTCACTCTCACTCACACTCATTCTCATCCACACTCACTCCCACTCACACTCGCTCACACTCGCACTCCCTCACACACTCACTCACACTCCTCACTCCCACCCGCAGACTCACTCTCACTCTCACTCTCACTCTCACCCACACTCACTCTCACTTACACTCCCTCTCACCCACACTCACTCACACCCACCTTCACTTCATCACCACCATCACCTCTCTGGACCCCAGTGCGTCTAGATCTCTAGACTTTCTGCTTGCAGATCTCACACACACTGTTTGGGGTCTCTTGCCGGGATAATTTCTTAATGGTATGATTTTGGATTAATTGTTTGGCTTTGTGGGCGCTGTTGATGTTGGTATAGGGGTAGGTGTTGATTAATATTTTTGTTTTGCGGGTGTTACTATCGTGTTGATGTTGGTGTAGATGTTGGTGCGGTTGTTGTTGCCGTGTTGCTGTTGGTGTAGGTTTAGGTGTTGATGGGCGTTTTGGTTTCGCGGAGCGGGTACTGTTCCTGTTCTGATGCTGGCG